TTTTTTTTTTTTTGTCAGGAGCCTTGACACAATCACATTTATTGAGAACCTCTCACGTGTCCATTCTATACACTTGAGAGGTATTAATCCCTTTAGTTCAAAGGAGTCCCTTCTCAAATTGTGTATGTTCAGAACACACACACGCAGTGTATGTATTCATTCGTTCGTTCGTTCATTTCATTTCTTTCTGGCCTTTTCCCAAGTTGACCTTCCCCAGATCAGCTATTGGGGCACTGTCCGTGGCAGTTGTTTGGGCCCAAACCCCTGGCTGTACCCCACACACACACACACACACACAGGTCTGTTCCCCACACAGCCAGAGGGAGCCTGCAAACACATGAATGAGTTTCCTGTGGCTGCTATCACACGTTACCACAAATTGAGTGGCTTAAGACAACCAAAATGTATTCTCACCATTCTGGAGGCCAGACATCCAAACTCAAGGTGTTGACGGGGCCAACACCCCCCTTGAGGCTCTAGGGGAGATTCTCGTGACTCCAGGCATACCTGGGTTTGTGGGCATATCTCAGCAATCTCGGCATCCCTGGTCACGTGGTCTCCTCTGTCTCTTCTCTTCCTGTCTCTTAAAGACACTTGTCATTGGATTTAGGGCCCACCCATATAATCCAGGATGATGTCATCTCAACATCCTTAGTGACCTCTGCAAAGACCCTTTTTCCAACTAAGGTCACATTCACAAGTCCTGGAGATTATGGACATATTGGACATATCTTTTTTGAAGCCAGCATTCAGCCAACTACAACACCCTAGGCAGATCATGTCTGTTCTCTGCTCAGACCCTACCCATGGCCCCGACCTTCTCACCACAGTCCAGGCAGCCCTGCACAATCTGGCCCTGTCACCCCTCTGACTGTTCTCTCCTCCTCATAGCCCACCCCACTTCAGACACACTGGCCTTCTTGTTCTTCCCAGTACATATCAAGCACACTCCTGCCTCTGGGCCTTTGCACTGGCTATTCCCTCTGCTTGACAGAGGGACTTCTCCAAGAAGTCTATGTAGCTCCTTCCCTCCCCTCCTTGAAGTTTTTTCCAGGTATCCCCTTCTCAGTGAGGCTTTTCCTGACAATCCCAACTCCTCCCCCCCAACCCCGTCCCACTTCCCTGATTCTCTGTGGCATGTATTACCTTCTAACATAATTTACTTATTTTTGTATCTGTCTTCCCTGGTGTCTGTTTTGTTCACAGTGGTATTTCCAGTGCCTCAAACAATAGCTGGTACATAGATACTCAGTAAGTATGTGTAAAATCAACGAACAGCCTTATGAAAAGTAGGTACTATTGTCACCATGCCCATCTTACAGATGGGAAAACTAAGGCACAGATTCATTGTCACTTCTCAAGGTCAAACAGTCACATGAGCACTGAGGATCATATTCAAGTCAGGCATCTGGCTCTGGAATCCACAGTATTAACTGCCTTACAGTCTAACCTACCTCTCCATTTTATTTATTTATTTATTTATTTATTTATTTATTTATTTATTTATTTATTTATTGAGAGCGAGCAAGCACAAATGTGAGCGGGGGAAGAGCAGAGGCAGAGGGAGCAGAGCCCAACTCGGGACTCTATCTCACAACCCTGAGATCATGACGAACCAAAATCAAGAATCGGACTCTAAATCAACCAACCAAGCCACCTGAGCACCCTACTAGTTTTTTGGTTGCTTTTTTTTTTTTTTTCAAACACCTTAAGTGTATTTTTTAAGTTTATTTATTTTGAGACAGAGAGGGAGACAGAATCCCAAGCAGGCTCCACTTCATGAATGCAGCACTCAATCTCATGAACCATGAGATCATGACCTGAGCCACAATCGAGAATTGGCCACTTAACCAACAGAGCCACCCAGTTGCTCCTTAGGTGTATTTTGATAAAAATATAGCAGAAATTAAAAGTAAACCCTTTGTTTCAGACCTGTAATCACCATACAAGTTCAAAGCCAAAATGTCACTAATAATCTGAATGAAGTGCATGCTAGTTTCTACCTATTTTTGGTGTATTAATGGCCATTCCAATTCTCGGCCTCATTGTGCCCAATCCCATGCCTCGCACCTCCGTGCCCAACCTCTCCCCCAGTTTTGTTTTTGTTCACTTTATTTTCCCTAATTTTACATCGCTTGCGGTTCCAACCCCATATTTTGTTGTTGTTGTTTTAGAGTTATCTACATCCAAAGTGGGGCTCAAACCCACAATCCCGAGACTGAGAGTCACAGGCTCTACTGGCTGAGCCAGCCAGGCGCCCCTCAACCCCGTGTTCTTCAGTAAAACCTTTCTCACCAAGGCTTTTGCAAATAAATAAAAGGCAAATGTTTCCTGCCCCAAGCCTCCCCTCTCCCACCTGGCAACCCTGCGGTCAGCCACCTCTAAGATTGTTTTCTGCTGCTTCTGGTGACCTCTGAAGTTCCAAATAACCTTGGTCTGTTACCATTTGTTGCTGGATCCATTTGGCCCATCCCCATTTGTCTCCCTGCAATGAGAGGAGGGGATCTAGCTGTGCTCAGCCCTTGCCAATCTGGGATCTGACATTGTGGGTGAAGGGGTTTCCAAATTATCCTTTCACGTGTAGGCTGGATCTTCCGGTAACGCGGAAGGGGGGCGGGGGGAACCTAGCTCCCTTTTGCAATTTTCTTCTTTCCTTCTTTTTTAAAATCTCAGTAATGCGTGCCGTGGGACGCAACACCTGTGTTGGCTTTATAATTATTTCTTAATCTGCACAGAGATTTTTTTTTCCTCTACTTTTCTGTAAGTCGCTTATATTGCACAATTTCTAAAAAGAAAATAGGCGTACAATAAAAAGCAATCCTCACCCACCCCAAATGCCACTCGAGGCAACCCCTTCTGACGTTGTCGCATCTCTCAGTGATCATCCTTTTCTGCATCCATCTGTTGACTTCTTGCGCGGACGGAGGGGAGGGCGTCCTGCCCCTGTTGTATTGGGAAAGGTGGGCGGGGAGGGGTTCTTCAGTTCTTTTCGTCAGCGGTGGTCTTAAATCCTGCTTGGGAAAAAGGAGATGGGAAATGGGAAATCTTGCTTAATCTTCCAGCCGGAGCCTGGATTTCCGAAACAAAATTTTTAAAATCCCTATCAAAATATCAGTTGGCTTTTTTTAAAGAAATTAAATAGTTATCCAAACAGACTCCAACAGAAAACCCACAGTCTCCTTCCACCACCCCGCTCATCCCCCCCTTCCCAACCCCATAGCTTGAGTTGTGTCTTCTGATTTTATTCGCTACCTCTGAAAATCATATTATTCAACCTTGATCGCTCCACTTTATTTTATAAGGCTTTTAAAATTTTTTGAGTATAATTGACATTTTATACGGGTTTTTTTTTTTTAACAATTTTATTTATTTTTGACTAGGTAATACATGCCCATGGTACAAAAATTCACAAGGTTTGTAGACAAGATGCGGGGTTTCTTTTTCTCTTTACCTGTACCCTCCCTACCCCACCCCGGGGCTCTGGGGGATATGGGTGGCAAAGCCCATCCCCCAGCCATGTACTCCCCGCACCCCGGCCAGGTTGGCGGGACCATATCTGGGGGACCGGAGCCCCCCTTCTCCCTGCGGTGAGCCCGGGCGGCCTGCGCACTGCGCAGACTCCCCGCTGCAGTGGGCGGAGCCCCGTCTGGCCCCGCCCCCTCCTTCCTCCCGCCCCTGCTTAGCCTGTTGGGGCAGAAGCTGGGGCCCCGCGGAGGTAGCAGCTGCCGCCTGCGGAGTGAGACCGAGTCCCCTCCGGGGTAAGGTGGCGGAGGATGGCTCGGGGGATGGGCTGGGGGCTGGCGGTGAGGCCCCGATGGTTCCGGGCTCCCGGCTTGAGCTGTCTGGTGGGTACCTAATGGTGATGGCAGAGGAGCCACCTGGAAAATGCTCCCTGGGTGGTCTTCGGGCTGCGAGAAGCCAGGCAAAGATTTGGGGCTTCACTGACCCCATCCGGAGTGGTCTTCTTGGGAATGTCTATATTAGAGCTCAGAGAAGGGAAGATGCTAATAGGAAGCGTAATAATGAGGAGCAGGATGGGCGCTAAGGGGGAGGGGGCAGGGTGGGCGCTAAGGGGGACAGTGTAGGCACCATGGAATGATGGGAAGAAAGCAAGGCGTTAGACTTTGAGGGATTTCGAAAACCCTGCTGACCAGCGGTCAGCTTCCTCCTTTTGGGGTGGCGGGCCCCATGCCAGTGATCCCGTGCTTACAGACAAGGAGACCCAATGGATCCCGTGAGCCCGACACTACTCTGCTTTCCGTGATGTTCCCCCAAAGCCCGGAAACCCCACCACAGTGCCAGCTTTTGTTCCCCACAGTTTGGAGACCCTGACACACCCACTTGCCCCGCCTGGGCTCCACATATCCCCTGGCTGCCTGGCAAGATGAAGCCTAAACTGATGTACCAGGAGGTAGGTGGATCTGGGGCCCCGTGGGGTGGGGCTGGGTGCAGTGGAGGGCAGAGACCCTGCCAAGCTGCCCTGTCACCCCCCTACCATACCCATTCCCCAGCTAAAGGTGCCTGCTGAGGAGCCCGCCAATGAGCTGCCCATGAATGAGATTGAGGCTTGGAAGGCTGCGGAGAAGGTAGGAGCCCGCCACCACCCTCACCCTGTCTCAGGTGTGGGCTGGGCTGGTCGCCTTGGGCTGGCTGATGGCCTCCTCTTCCCCACAGAAAGCTCGTTGGGTCCTGCTGGTCCTCATCCTGGCGGTCGTGGGCTTCGGAGCCCTGATGACTCAGCTGTTTCTATGGGAATACGGCGACTTGCATCTCTTCGGGCCCAACCAGCGCCCAGCCCCCTGCTACGACCCCTGCGAGTAAGTTGGGGGGGGGAGGGGTCTCGGGCAGTGCGGGGGAAAGAGCCCTGCCAGGACCCAGACGCTTACACATTGAGCAGGGACTGCCCTGAGCCACAGCCGGTGCCTGGGGCTGGGGGAGGTGATCTGATTGCAGACTCCCAAATGCACTGTCACAGGGCCTTCCCTCCATCCCCAACCCCTCCCCCCAACACTGTTCCCATGACAGCCACAGCATCATTTTCTGTCCGTGTCTGTGAGCAAACCAGCACACACACAGACACACACATGGCATCTTCCGACACGTGTGGACAGACACACACACACACAAATAGCCGCATGCGCAGCCTGCCTTCCACTCGTCTAGACGAACAAATGCACAGACGCACAGAATCGTGAGTACAGGCACACACAAATATCCCCCGTGGACGGACAGGGGAGCACTCATGTTCCAGCCGGTTGTCTCTGGCCCCCTGTGGCTGATACCACCCCCCACCCCCCAGAGCAGTGCTGGTGGAGAGCATTCCAGAGGGCCTGGACTTCCCCAATGCCTCCACGAGCAACCCGTCCACCAGCCAGGCCTGGCTGGGCCTGCTCGCCGGTGCCCACAGCAGTCTGGACATCGCCTCTTTCTATTGGACTCTCACCAACAATGACACCCACACTCAGGAGCCCTCTGCCCAGCAGGTACCTGGCAACATGGGCCCTGGCTGGCAGCAGGGGTGGTGGGAGCCATTGGGGGGAGGTGGGGGGGAGTGAAGGGGGTTCCCCTGCAGCCCAGGAGATAGATGGGCACGTCTCACACAGTGGGTTGGACACAGGTGATTGGAAGCAACTGTCTTCACATGGCGCTCTGGACTGGGGGCGTTTGTCACGGTCATCTGGAGGCCTCTGAAGGTCAGGTTGTGGGTCTGGTTACCAGGGATTAGGCTGACAGCAGTTGCTCGCCCAGACCCTGTCACACAATGAAATGGAAGAGTAGGTAACAGCCCAGCCTCAAGCCAGCCTGCTGCCTCCCAGCCACGTGACCTTGGGCAGGTCACCGCAGCTCTCAGGCCTCAGCTTCCACATCTGTAGAATGGGGCCAATAGCTAGCACTTGCCGCTTACAAGAATAAATCCATGCAGATTCCAGCACGGTCTCTGACAACCATCGCCCCCCCCATCAGCGTTTGCTTTATATCCTTGTCAAGGTCTACAGACACACTTAAAAAACATAAAACCTCAAGATGTGAAAAGGACCAGCCTAGGCGGGTAACCCCTTCCTTGAAAGACACACTGACTTGGTCCCTTCTTGTTTTCCTCCCCCTGCTGCCTCTTTTTGTCAGAAGCGGGCTTAACATTTATTAAAATTGCGGGGCTCCTCAAGCACTGCCTGAAAACATAATCACAGAAGTTAAAAATGATTGGAGTGCTCCCTCCCCGCCGGCTCCCCCTGGAGTGGTTCAAAGCACAAAGCACAGACATAGGAGGCAGGTGACCTGGGTTCAGATCCCACTTCACCACTGAGTTCTCCGATGCCAGCTTTCTCCTCTGCACCTCCGGGATTTTACTCAGACCTGCCTCATCAGTGAGAGCAGTGAGGAGTCTGTGAGTTCAGATGTGAAGGGGCTTAGGGTGGGGCCCGGCTCACAGTAGGAACCAGGGAATCCTTGGCTGTCGTTCTTAACAGTTTTTGGCACCATCGGGCCTCACCCTATACCTTCCTGGATCCCCAGCCCGTGCCTTGCCCCCAACATCTGAGAGGGTGCATGGAGGCCCCTGTGGTGCCAAGCTTTGATCTTCCAAGGCAAGATCTTGGGGAAGTCCCTGGAAGGACAGGACTGGCAGGGAGGCCCTGGTGTGGCCCAGAGCACCAGTAATTAACCAGATGAAAGGTTTTCATAGCTTAGCCTGTAAAGCCATCTCTCCGTGTCCCGGCTAATGGAAAGCCTGTTCAGTCCTGATCACAAATTGAAATGCAAAATCAAGACGGCCTTTTTTGGGGGGTGCCGCATGGGGTGGGAGAGCTGACGGGCCCAGCCTCTCAGAGGCTCTCCCCTCCCTACAGGGTGAGGAGGTCCTCCGGCAGCTACAGGCCCTGGCACCTCAAGGCGTGAAGGTCCGCATCGCCGTGAGCAAGCCCAACGGGCCCCAGCCGCAGGCTGACCTGCAGACCCTACTGCAAAGTGGTGAGCCAAGGGGCAGCCGTGGGGGGTGCCGGGCCGGGGGCCATCCGAGCCGGCTCCCGACAGCCTGTCTGTCCCAGGTGCCCAGGTCCGCATGGTGGATATGCAGAAGCTGACCCATGGCGTCCTGCACACCAAGTTCTGGGTGGTGGACCAGACCCACTTCTACATCGGCAGCGCCAACATGGACTGGCGCTCCCTGACCCAGGTCTGCCTGCACCCTGCCCGCCCACCCTTCCCGGCCCCTCCCCGCCCCCACAGGGCGCCCGGCCTCCAACCACACCCCTCTTCCATCCCAGCATCTTCTGTGTCCAGTCTCTGCAATGGCTTCCTTCCTACCTCCTACCAGACCTCCCCAAACATCCCCAAATCCAGCCCAGCCCTCACTGCCTTCCCCCCCGCCCGTGGAAGCCTGGGGTTTCCTCTGATCCCCGATGACAGCTGCCAGCCCTTCTGCATTCAAGGCCCTGTCCACCGATTTGCCCTTCATTATTCATTCCCTGAGTGCCTGCTCTAAGCCCAGGCCTGTCCCGGGAGATACTGGGGACGTGGTGGTAAGCGATGGACCTCTGGGAACTGTCAGTCCAGTGCTGAGGCAGGCTGGTCACCAGGCAGTGCGGCAGCCCAGAGGGTCATGGCCAGGATGGGGGACCCAGTCTGGAGTATCAGCGAAAGTCTTCCAAGGGAGGTGACAGCTAATATGATAGCTGAAAGATCTGTAAGAGTTAGCGCGAGACGGGAAAGAAGGTACAGCTTAGGCAATGATCCTTTATTTCCTCAGCAAATAACTCCCAAGCCCCTAACAGCACCAGCTCTGGGGGAGATGCTGAAGATACAGCTGTGGCTGAGACATCCCTGGTGGCTGTCTTCCCAGTCCAGCGTCACTAGAGAGAGAAATGAGGGAAGTCCAAGGGACCGTGAAAGCCCAGAGGAATGCCCGACACAGTCTGGGCAGTCAAGAGAGGGTTCCTGGAGGAGGAGGCTGTCAGCCGAGCCCTAAGAATGAGTAGGAGCTGGTTCTGTGGAGGGTAGAAACAAAAGCATGGGCAAAAGTTTGGGAAACCTGGCACTTCAGAATAACCAAAGGATTTTTGCCAGAACTTGACGAGTTCTTTGGCTTGAGTCAAATCCACGCCCATCTTAGGACTTTAGTCCTGGTGGTGGCGGCGGGGCTGGGGACGGAGGGGCAGAAAGATGGGGAGGTTGAGAGGCAAGGGGCAGGAAGGAAGGCTGAGGGGGGTGGAAGAGGGGGCTGTGGGTGTTCATGCCATCCGTGGGTGCCAGGCTACCACCCCCAGGCTCAGCACTGCCCTCCCACAGGTCAAGGAGCTAGGCGTGGTCATGTACAACTGCAGCTGCCTGGCTCGGGACCTGACCAAGATCTTTGAGGCCTACTGGTACCTGGGCCAGGCGGGCAGCTCCATCCCGTCAACCTGGCCCCGGCCCTATGACACGCGCTACAATCAAGAGACACCGATGGAGATCTGTCTCAATGGAACCCCTGCTCTGGCCTACCTGGCAGTGAGTCTTTGGGAAGAGGGGCCTTGCCACAGTCTCTGCCTAACCCTGCCCAGTGATGGGGAGGGGGCATCCTGGCCACTCACTCTGGCTCACTCTGCCTGGTCTGGGGCCGGAGCCATGTCCCAACCTCCCTAGGCCTTGGTTTTCTCTCCTGCCACCTCTAGGGAGGTACAGCTGTGTTCATGCAAGCCCCCGGTGCCTCTGTGCTGTCCCAGATAGCGAGCGGCTCTTTGCGTTTAAATCGGCTAAAATTAAACATGGCCAAGAATTCAGTTCCTTGGTTGCCTTAGCCACATTTCAAGTGCTCGGTAGGCACATGCAGCACACGGCTACCACACCGAACGGTGCAGATACATATAGAACGTTTCCATCGCTGTGGAAGGTTCTCTTGGACAGCATCCGCAGTCGCCTGTGGCAGACGCTGAGCCCTGTAGACGAGGCGCTGCTGTTTTCAGCTGCTGAGACTTTCACCAGTTGGGGCGGCCAGTCTGGGTGCCTTTTGGTCCCCCTGAGCAAGTGACCTGGCCAAGTCCAGAGTCCTGGTGGAGGGCCACACAAAGGCACGGATGCAGGGACCCATGATTTACAGGGGTCCTTTGCTCTGGTGGCCTCGCCAGGAAGGTTAAGCGTTCCCCTGTTACCACTTCCCCTTCAGAGCTTGAGTTTGCTCATCTGTCACGAGGATGGAGGGAAATAGGTAAAGGGCATGGTGTGGTACGGTACATAGGCAAGGTCAGCAATGAGCAAGTCAGGGACAAAAGTGATTAGAGGTCCTTAAACCTGAGCACGCATCAGAAGCATGGCGCTGGGGCAGGGGGCGGGCGGGGAGG